CCTCCCCACACCCTCTCTTTCTCTGCTGCTGATCTGCACTCTGGCCCCTTAACACCACTCATCTGAAGAAGTGAGCTGTGCCCAGGAAAGCTCATGACACCATCCACATGTTTTGTTAGTCTCTAAGGTGCTGCAGGACTCTTTGTTGTGTTTTAAGTTTTGCCAGTGGCTCTGTCAGAGCCAATTCCTGCCCCCTCTTACAACGTGGCACACGATGCCCCTCTCTTCGCTTTGCCCGTTTTCTGGCTAGAGGCTTTAAGTGGCGCTGCGCATGAAAAGGGTGGCTCAGCACATTGCTTGTGAATAGGAACAGAAATGAGAGTTGAACTGTTTAGCAGTGCCCATGTGGCCACATCCCAATAAGCCTTAATAACAACAACAGCGAATAATTCATGTGCATGTTTAGAAATCTAATCCAGGCAGCTTTTCTGCAAGTCTCCTCTTCCCACTGTTGCCGTAGGGCCTTTTGTAAGCAACTTCAGGCAGGGGCCAGCTTTTTGTTCTCTGCGTGCACAGCACCTAGCCCAACGGGGGCCTGGCCCATCCCTGGGGCTTGCCAGGTCATATAAATAATCAACACAAATTGATTATTTTTGGGCTTTGCCTTTGGGGATTTTCAGATTCCAGGTCAGTACCATTCTATGCTGGTGCCAACAATGCTTCCTCGTCTCGCAAGCCAGGAGCAGTTCAAGAGCGGAGACTCACTCTGTGTTTCTTTGCCATGGAAGTCGATTCCCGATGCCCTCCCCTCCCCTCGTCTCTCCTCCTGCCAGTCAAATCAGCAGGAGCTGTGGGGTATCAGTGACCTGACTGATGAGCTGTGCACATCTCGTACGCGGCCACATGCCCCTTGGATGAGCAGGAGCAATTTCTGTAGGAGTCTCTTTTGTTTTTGTTACAATTAGTATTTGGCTAGACTTTGGGTGTCCTGAGCAGCAAAGTTATTTTGGAATAATGGCTGTTGTTCCGAAATAACAATGTGAGCATCTACGCAGCAATTCCGTTATTTCAAAATAATTCCGAAATAACGGATGTCTTATTCCGACTTCTGTAAACCTCATTCTTCAAAATAAGGCGTGTGGAGACGCTCCGATTCTGCTATTTCAAAATAGCCTCTCACCAGGCCCATTCTAATGTATTCCTCCTGGGGCTCTAAATCGAGATAGTGGTCGAAGTGCCACGACATGGGACAGTGAACTGCATCCAGTAAGTGTGGGGGTTACATATATGTGGTAAGACACCTTATAATCTAATAGGCAATAGCTGAACTATAAAGGGGGGGAGGGGAAACTGAGGCACAGAGCTACAAAGTGACCTGTCTGAGGTCACACAGCAAGTCAGCTGTGAATTAGGAACAGCACCCAGGTGAGAGACCCCATCCACTGGGCCTTATTGCCTCACCACAAATTTGGGCTCCCACCCACCAGGTTATACAGAACCTCACTGAATCCATGAGCCCTTATAGTAAGACAGTGGTCCATCCACCTACGGGCTCGTCTACACTGGCCCCTTTTCCGGAAGGGGCATTTAAATTTCACTAGTCGTCGTAGGGAAATCCGCGGGGGATTTAAATATCCCCCGCGGCATTTAAATAAAAATGTCCGCCGCTTTTTTCCGGCTTTTAAAAAAGCCGGAAAAGAGCGTCTAGACTGGCCCCGATCCTCCGGAAAAAGTGCCCTTTTCCGGAGGGTCTTATTCCTACTTATTCAAAGCCGGAAAAAAGCGGCGGACATTTTTATTTAAATGCCGCGGGGGATATTTAAATCCCCCGCGGATTTCCCTACGACGACTAGTGAAATTTACATGCCCCTTCCGGAAGAGGGGCCAGTGTAGACGTAGCCGAGGTGGGACAGTACTACAGTGTCCCGGAAAGTCTCATCCACCTAGCTCTCTACCTCCCTTAGCTCCTCCAGTTCAGCCACCCTGGCCTCCAAAGCCCAAACTCGGTCTCTGAGGGTCAGGAGCTCCTTGCAACGGGTGCACACATATGCCACCCACCCACAGGGCAGGTAATCATACATGTTACACTCGACACAATAAACAGGATAGCCCCCACTCTGCTGCTGGGCTTCTGTCTCCATTTTTCTAATGAATAAGTTTAAGTATAAACTGGGATTCTTTTTAAACCTCTGGAATATAGATTATTCTAAGAGTTATGTTTTAAAGAAGGTCAGAAGTCACTAGTGCCCTCTAACCTCCCCCTCTAAACTCTCCTATTCGCGCTCTCCCTGCTCGCTGAGTCACCGGCTTATATAGCTCTGGTAGCCCCTCCCCCTGACTGAGGCTCAGCCAATTAACAGAGGCTTCTAGATTTCAAACCAAACAGACAAACAAACACAAGCTCAGCACACTGCAAGTAACTCCCCCGCACACAAACACACACTCCAGACAGCCACTTACCACAAGGGTCCCGTTTTTACTCCTCTTACCTGGAGAACTGCAGGCCTCTGCCTTGCTCCCTCTGTGCAAAATGGGGATAACAGATTTGGCCTGCCTCCAGATGGGCACACTAGAGATGCTCCAGAGGGTTTCACACACTGTGTAAATGGGAGTAAGTACTTAGGCCAGAGTGAGTGCTGCTCTTTCCCGTTAGTGAGATTTACAGCAGCTTTGGCTAAATTCTAGTCAACAAAGAACAGGGACTTTATTTTGATGGTGGAGTGAAGCACCGGCAGGCTTTTTCCTCTTCCAGGTAAACGTTGTGTCTTGGTTAGTTACCTCGCAAGCCTGACTTTAAGCTGCGTTTCCTCCACTGCCCTTGGGTGGGGGTAGGGCAAGAGATGATGGATTTGCAGCAGGAAGATTCCGCGGCACCTGGCCTTTTGGTAGTGATCACAGCTGCAGTGGGAAGTGGGCACTGGGCTACGTTTTCACCAGGTTGGATGGAGGGTGAGCCTTGGGCTGGGGGAGACAAGCCTGCAGCCCTTCCCCTTCTGCTCAAGGCCCCAACCCTGCCACCCTGGGCCCCTGTGGGAGCTAAGCCCTCCCCCACTATAGGGGCAGTCGTGTCCCCCCCAAGTGGGAGGCACATGATCTCCACCTTCCTCCTCCAGCATGTGGAGGAAGGGCAAGCAGTTGAGTGGTCAGTGCACAGCCCCAGTCTTGCCCAGGGCACAGGGACGGTGGATGGCACCCTGAGCCCCAGAGAGTGGGCAGCACATGGCTGGCAGCCCCTCTGGCTCCAGAGCATGAGCAGCACCTGGCCACAGCCTCCCCGGCCCCAACCTCAACATGGCTGAAGCCCTGGCAGCTCCAGGATACTGAGGGAGCCGGAGGGGCAGGGACAGATGGGCAGTGTGGGAAGGCATTGCCTTCCCCTGACTTTTGTACCCACCACCCATGGGCTGGTCTTGTTGTCTTCCATCTCCTCCACAGATCACGTTGATCTTTAAGAATTACCAGGGCTGCACAGAGCAGAAGGTTTATCAGGCGACCACAGAGGACCTGCCACTGGCATTCAGCGATGGCACGAGAACCGGAGGGCAGCAGGAGGGAGCCAGCAGCCTGCGCATCCTGGAAAAGCCAGATGCTGGCCAGGTGGAGATCCAGGCCAACTACATTGGTAGCACAGTCATCATCCGCCAAGTGGGCCGCTACCTCACCTTTGCCATCCGGGTGCCGGAGGAGACCCTGCGCCTCTCGGAGGAGAGCACTGGCCTCCAGCTCTGTCTACATGGCTGTCCAAAGAATGAGCTCATCCAAGAGCACAGACTGAGCCTGGGGAACTCCAGCCCACTCTGGCCTAGCACCCGGCGGGCCTACACGGTGGAGACAGCCACTGAGCAGTGTCGCCACATCCTGCAGGTGGAGGACTTGTATTTCCAGTCTTGTGTCTTTGACCTGCTTACCACAGGGGATCCTGAGTTCTCCATGGCGGCTTATGGGGCCTTGGAAGACTTGAAGGCCTTGTATCCAAGCAAACTCAAGTTGCATACAATCTCCAAGACTATTAACATGGCCAGCGGCACGCTGGGGCCTGGTTTGCCCGCTGCCTCATTACTCTGGTGTGGTCTGGCCTTCCTAAGGCTGCTCTGGTGCTGCTAATGAGGGTGGACTTCTTGCTACTATTGGACCCTATGTAGGAAGAGAAAAACCCCTGACATCTCCCTTTCCTGGAGCAGAGTGGAAGGTCCAAATTCTCCTCCCTCCACACTCATCTGCTCATTCCAGCTGGCTTGCTGTTTCAGTTGCTAATTGAAGGCAAAGTGTAGCTTGCTCAGATATTCTGGTCTCCAGTCTTGACCTGCAGAAACCACAGCTGCCTTTTGAGTGAGAATTGGGGGACCAGTGCTTTGCTTAGTAGGTTGGCCAGACTCCACTGGTCTTCTCCCCAGGCAAAGCTGCCCCTGTCCCATAGCATCTGCTTACCAGCCCCTTCTCTGTCACTGAGTTGCTAGCAGAAGGCCCCCCATTCCTTCCTCGCCCTATTCTCCAGGCAGAATCTCCTTTGGCTTTCCCCATTGGTGGTCCTTTGAGGGTCTCCTCTGCCATTCCATGGCTGCTGGGCTTCAGCCACATGTTCCAGGCTAGGTTGACCCCAGACTGACTTGTTAATTTTTTTAACCAGAATTCCCTGTGCTGTGATGACCAGACGAGGGGAGAGGGGTGACACTAAGTGTCTGGGGTAGGTATTAGGAGTGGCCCCTTGTTCTCATTCCTCTCCACATCCACAGTGATGGTTTTAGAAACACAACAAACCAAGAAGCAGTGGTGGCAGTTAGCTACGTTGCTCAGAGTGAGGGCCAGAAGGAAACTGTGGCAGGTGACCAGTATTCCCTCTAATTTTTTCCATCTGTAAGTGGAATACATTTTGTTATGTTTGCTGAGGCATGTGTACCACCAGCAGAAACATCTACTGCTGGCTGTCGGTGCTCTGCTAATCAGCTGGCATTTGAATCTTTCCTGGGTTCCTGCCCAAGCGCTTAGCTCATGGGGAACATTTGCATGTGATACTTGACTCCTTTTTAATGGCCCTGAGGAAAAGCTGCTGGTTTGAGCAACGCTCAGAGTCACGGCAGGTTCCTTCCACAGAGCTGGCTAACGTGAAATGCTTACGATAGCTTATCTATGAAGCCCGTCCTGCCCAGACACAAGTTTCCTATGAGTTCAGCTCATCTGAGTCCATACGCAGCATGGATTTGGGAGCCGCTGCGCCTGAAGAAGCAGCTTCTCTTATCACTGCTCAGTGCATACATTTGTGCTCTCTTGCCGGTAATTGTCTGTGCATTCGGTGTTCCTCCACACCGCATTCTTTGTGGAATTTATCAACCCCCTTCCCTGGCAGCTGTTTAGCATTTTAACCTCTGTTTTAATTAAAGCAGTGTTTTTTAAAGTGTCAGTGCTCTCTTTCCACTGTGCAGGGAAGGAATCAAATAGCCTGAAGGACTCAGGTACCAGCTCCCTCAATAGAAAGGCATAGATGTAATGCTCTCTGCAACAAATGTGTAAGAAGGAAGGTGGGATGAAACAGCCTGTATGCATGGAGACTGGTTATTCTTTGAGGCCTTTACCAGCCCCTGCCCAGTTTCCGCTCTGCTGGTGAATGTCACTGAACCCTGGAGGGTGATCTAGGCTCAACAGGCACTCAGGCTGCTTTTGAGTTTCACAAAAGCTGCTGCTCCTTGTGCTCGCTGAAGGGCAGAGCTGTGAGTGAAGAGAGTGGGTTCCAATGCCAGGGTTTCCAGCTCTAGAGGTCCTACCTGTGCTAGCTCTGAGCAAGGGAGCACACCAAAAGTAGCAGTGGTGGTGAGAGGCATAGGCAGAGCACCCATGGGGAAAAATTAATGGGTGCACAGCACCCACTAGTAGCCCACTCCCTCTCTCTGCCCCACTTACAGCCCATGGCTCTACACTTCCTCCTCCCTTCCAGCCCCTCCCACAGCAGCCATGAAACAGCTGTTTCCTGGTATTGGGAGGCTCTGGGAGGAAAGGGCAGGAGTGAGGATGCTGCGTGCTCAGGAAAGGTGAGGGCAGGAGCAGAGGCTTGAGGGAAGCGGAGGTTGAAGTGGGGGGGGGGTTGAGCACCCTATGGCTAGAGCAGAAGTTGGTACCTCCGGTGAAAGGGGCTGGCTGCCCTGTAATCAGACCTACATTGTTGGGCAGGATCTGACGGAGTGACTGAGCCCCTCTCTGCTGCGCTTTTTTGCTTTCATTTTTAGCAGACTGACTTGAGCAGAGCTAGAGTGTGTGTGTGTGGGGGGGAGGGGGAAGTATGTCTCCTTGGCCACAGCTACACTGTAGCCTTCTTCCAGAAAAGCTTAAGCAAATGCATTTTTTTCAGGAAGAACAACTCTTGCGCAAGGGGGTTTTTGCGCAAAAAGGAACTGTCTACACAGCTCCTTTTTGCACAAAGGCCTCTTGCGCAAAAGCGGCTACTAATTAATTATGCAAATAGGGTTGCCAGATGGTTGACACAAAAATACCGAACACCCCCCCCCCCCAAAAAAAAACACCGGAAAAAAATTCTTTTAAGGAAAAAAAGGGGGGGGGGAGAGTCGCTTCTCGGGTCTAATCTTC